GCGGGAGCCGGGGAAGGAGCGACCACGGCCACCTTCGCGGGGAGCGCTGTCGCGGGGGCCGTTGCGGGCACCATCACCACGGGGGCGACGGTCATCACCGCGGGGGGCGTCGCGGCGCTGCTCGCGCTTCTCCTCGAGCGCAAGGGGAACGTTCTTGACAGAGACGCCAGTGGTGCGGGCAGCGGTGGCGTTCTCGGGGGTGTCAAAGTCGACAAAGAAGTTGCCCTTGGCGTTGGGGGCCGAGACGCTCTTGAAGCCAGCGACCGAGGCAAAAGCGGCAGTCAAATCAGCCTGGGTGGTGTTCTCGGGGACGCTCTTCACAAACAGGGAGCTGCCGGGGGCGGCGCGCGGGGCCTGGGTGCGAGGAGGACGCTCGGTGCCGTTGGTGGCAGCGGCAGGAGTGGCGGCAGCGGCAACCGGGGCAGCAGCAGTAGCGGCGGCGGCAACAGGAGCAGCAGCGGCAGGAGCAGCGGCAGCAGCAGCAACAGGAGCAGCAGCGGCAGCAGGGGCAGCGGCAGGAGCAGCGGGCTTCTCAGCCTTTGGCTTGGCAGCGGGCTGAGCAGCCATGCCAGCGTACGAGGTGGGCTTGACGGGCGCGGGCTTCTCGGCAGCCGGGGCGGCAGCAGTGGTGGCGGCACCAGCGGCAGCGGGAGCAGGGCGGCGGCGTTGTTGCTGGCCAGAGGGAGCGGGCTTTTGCTCGGCGGGGGCGGCGGCAGCAGCAGCAGCAGCCTTGGGCTGCTCGGCAACGCGTGCGGGTGCGGGGGCGGCAGCGGCGACAGGAGCAGGGGCGGCAGCGGCAGCAGGAGCAGCGGCAACAGGGGCAGCAGCAACGGGGGCAGGGGCAGCAGCAACGGGCTCGGGAGCCTTGTGCTCAACAGGGGCGGCAACGGGAGCAGGGGCGGGGGCGGCAACGGGAGCAGGGGCGGCAGCAGCAGCAGCAACCACGTCAACAGCGTCGTCCTCCTTCAGGAAGCGGAAGACGTCGTTGTGCAGGTAGAAGCCGTTCTGCTGGGGAGCAAGCAGGAAAGTCTGGGCAAAGCGACGCGGGAGGCTGTTAATGAACAGGGTGCCGGTAACGAGCACGAGCACACCATCGCCGACCGTCTGGTGGGCGTCGATGCGAAGCACGACGGCGCGGGGATCGTTAAAGTTGAGCGATTCGATCTTGTTCTTGATCGCCTATTGGTTCAGAGAGAGAGAGAGAAAACAAGCAGTGAGTGAGAGTGTGGCTGAAACAGTCAAACGGGGCGATCTTTTGATCACGGATGGTCACTCTGTCAATCCGGGTGAACGGTTGCAATGAATGTGTCGCTGCTATGGAGATCAGTCGAAAGAGGGACGTAGTAACAGCAGGATGACATCGACAACGGGGGAACAGAGATCGACTCCAGAATCGAAAAAAAAAAAAAAAAAGGTCACTGTAGAGCGAAGAGTGTGTTTTGGAGCGAACGGCATCGGGGATTGCGTATGCAGCGAGTGGGCATGCAGATGGCATCGCTTGGATCTCGCACTCGTGCAGCGGACTGCGATCGACGAGCAGCAGCAGCAAGAAGAACGGGGGGAAAAGGGAAAAAAAAAAAAAAAAAAAAAAGCGAGATCTTGAAACGCATGTGGAAAAAAAAAAATAAAAACGAAAGGCGATCGTTGACAGGTCCGCTGGGGTTGACGAGTCGCAGTGGTGGGAGAAGGCGGCAAGGAAGGGGATGTTGGGGTGGTTGAAGACAGAGAGAAGGAAGAACGGGGCTTGGATTGAACGCAGAGAACGGAAGAAGATGAAAAACGAGATCGAAGCTCAAAGAAACGCAGCGAAAGATGGATGGAAAAAAAAAAAAAAAAAAAAAAGCTGCCAATGCAAAAGCACATGGAAAAATCGAAAAAAAATCCCAAAAAAAAAAAAAAAAAAAAGATGAAGCGTTTTCGCTGTTGATGATGATGTTGGTGATGTTGATGATGATCAGTCGTCGCGGCGCACCATGGCAGCAAGTCGGCAATCAGGAAGCGGGGCATGCACGAGAAACAGGCGACCGCAGCCCGCAGCGACAGCAGCAATCAGAACGATCGCGAAAAGAGCAAAAAGCGAAAAAAAAAAAAAAAAAAAAAAAAAAAACACGTATCACCAGAGCGACCAAAAAGCAAACAAAATCGATACGAAAGCTAAACGCTGACGCGAAGGAAATGGTAGCTTACTTCTACGCCGACGTAGGTCTGCTGATCTGACGATTGGCTCTCCTCAGCATGGGTGAAGCTCGAGTTGTGCTTGTAGAACCGGTGCAGTTGCATGGCATCGCGGTTGAGGTACGTAAAGTACAAGTGCACAAACTGGTTGGCGATTTCGATCGGCGTCGGGGCCGCCATGATTTGATATGACAAAGAGGGTTGTTGGCGGTGAAACAAAGACTGAAGGTTGAGTTTTAGTTTTGGTTGGCTGGTTTTCATGGACAAGATGTTCGAGGTGTGCCATTCAGAATAGCTCTCCTTTTCCTTTTTGTGCATGAAATTGTTTTTTGTCGTAGATGGGAAGAAACGAGAAAGAGGCACATTAGATCTGTGAGAGTGGGTACCTTTTTTTTTGTTTTTTGTTCGTTTTTTGGTTTTTGGTCAATTGAAGCCCTCCGCTCGCTTTTCCAATTCCCGTGAGGCCTATTCTCTCCCATTCCACCATTTTATGATAGTATACCATAGATATCAATAATCCATGGCAAAAATAGGGCATGAAAATCGACCAGGTCGCGAGAAGGCGAGTTTGTTGTCAGTTAGAGCGACAATCGCCAGTTGCCCATGACACAGCATTGTCCTGTTGGCTTCTTCAACCCCCGCTCCACTTCTAATTTACTTGTGTGAAATATTTGTGCACTTGGGACGAAGGCGAACGGGATTGGCGAGACTTGACTTCACTTGGTTTTATCGCTTGTGGAAAAATTGGAGCATACCTTTTAGTCGACCTAGCGTTCATTCTTGTCATGAACTTCGCCCAAACCGTTGATTTTTAACACAACAACACCATAGATGATAGGAAAATCACAGTAAGCGAGGGCGGAGGTGTGGCTTGATGGGCGATCGTCGCTCCGCCAACTCCGAGAATTTTACTCAAATTGACCTTGTTTGTTGTCGCTCCCAACGCACGCAAGAGCACGTTCGCACTATATAATTGACTTGAAATTATATTGTGAATCACCCAGTGGTGGAACTTTTGATTTATTGGCTGGTAGAAGCGAAAAAGGGCATCACGCTAGCAACCATTGTCGCTCAAGTCGCCAAAGCCATCGACGTTGTGCCGGGTTTCCGAGTCGACTTCGAACCCGCCAACCCTCGTAGAATTGTTTCCAGTACCCGAATCTCTTCTGGTCCACTGAAGGAAGTGCTCGGCGTCTTGGAGAACGGGACTGGCGACTTTCAATTTTCGTGTTCCGACTGCGTTTCGAGCCTTCCGACACTGCCAGCAGCTTTGTTTCCTTTTGTAGCCAGAGAGTAAAATGGGGCGGGGTCTGTAGCAGTTGTGCTGTTGCAAAGCACCTCGAGCTCTCCAAGTTCGAGCTGTCGAACGTTGCGTGGAGAACAGCAGAAGGATTGTCCTCAACCTTCACCGCGAAACTGTGGCGTAGAAATTGACGCAAACGAGCGGACTAGAAGTTACGAAGAACGTTTGGTCAAAGAAGCAACCCTTTGTATGAGCAGACAAGTACCAATCATCAACAAGGACAATGTTATAGAGAAAGTTCAAACGCAAGGAATCCCTTCTACGCCGCCCAAACACTACTGCGTCAAAGAGCATGTTTGGGCCGGCATAAACAAAAACACGCGTATCATTTTGGTTTGCGCGTTTACACCATTGCGCCAATCTCGCGAATGGTCGTCCCATCCTGAAACCCTGCCAGCACCTTGACGAGCTGAGAAAAGCTCGGTCGGAACTCCGGTGTCATGTTCCAGCAACTCATCATCATGTTGTAGAGCTCGAGCATGCAGTACTCCGGCTGCGGCAGTCGACCACCAGCTTCCACATGAGCCAGGGTATCCCGACCGCTCAACTTGCCGTAAGGCATTTCTCCGTAACAGCAGCATTCCCCTGCAACCAAACACCGCGATAAGTGACATACAAGCGCTAACTTTAGCAGAACACTGCGATACTTACAGGCTGTCACACCAAAGGACCAAACATCGGACATGGACGAGAACTTTCGGAAAGTCATTGTCTCTGGCGCCATCCACTACAATACAAGTGGATTCAACGGAATTAATACATGTATCAAACTCGCAACCCTTCCAAAGCAGCCATTGACCCACCTTCACGGGAAGTTTGCCACGCGTTTCCATGCGGTAGTAATCATTCTCGTCGGCCAGCTCGCGAGAAAGTCCGAAATCGGCAATCTTGACCACCATGCCTTGCCCCACAAGGCAGTTGCGAGCAGCGAGATCGCGGTGCACAAAGTGGAGCGTGCCCAGATACTCCATCCCGAGTGCAATCTGGCGAATCGCATGGATTTGCTCGTTCTCAGACCACTTGAATGACTGTTTTTTGGACTTTTGCAGCAGTGAACGCAAATCGCCGTACTGCACAAACTCGAGCAGAACGAGATGGGGCTCTGACTCGACCAAAGCCGCAAGCAGACGCACGACATTCGGATGCACAAAAGGTGCCATCAGTTTCGCCTCGCTTTCAAAGTCCTTGCGGGATTTCTCGTCTGCATCAGACTTGAGCGACTTGACTGCAACCTGCACGGTTTCGGGCGCTGCAGGTCCAAGCAAGGTTCGCGCTCGTTCGGGCAAGCCGCTGAACGGCACTTGACCCAGTGCCACATCGCCAAAGTTTCCGCTGGCAAGGTGCTTCACAATGGTCAAGCCTTCACGAACGCGACGAGAATTGCTGCCAGCAACATAGGCGCTTTCATAGTCGTAGACCACCTCTTCTGGCGGGGCGGTCGGGATGGCTTGGTACAAAGGTTCTGGCTGCCTTTGGCCGGCTACAAAGGTTCTGGCTGCCTTTGGCCGGCTGTGGCGTAAGCTGATGAGCTGCCCTCCGCTCTATGAGCTCGCGTCGAATGGAGCATGGAGGAGCCTGTCAGTTCCGAAGCCTCGTGATAGATGGGATTGGCAGAGTCCGTCGGTTCTGGCGTCGGATAGACGGGGCCGGCAGTGTCTTTGACAGCGTTTTTCGGTCGCGCAGCCGAACGTCGTTGCAATCGACGGCGTCGCAGCACGATCAAGACCGCTGCAATTATCGCAACAACGGCAACAGAAGCAACAGCAGCAGCGACGGCAGCTGCTGAAGATGAGGCTTGGGTGTCGCTGCTGTGTTGCACAATGGAGGATGCAACGGATGCAGCAGATGTCGATGCGGTTGATACAACAGAAGCCAACAGCACCGAGGTATCAGAACTAACAGACGCAGAAACTGCCGACGCTTGTGAGGCAATGGACGCCGAAGATGCAGTAACGATGGAAGCAATGGGCACCTCGGCACTCTCGGTGGTGCTAAACGAGGTGGCACCGCTCGGGACTGTTGGGCTGAAGTTGGTGATGGGCGTGCACGTTGGGTCTGTGCCAGCAGACCAGGATCCGGATGCTTGTGTGTTGCTGTTGCAAGTGAACGAGGAAGATCCAGCAAAGGTATAGCCAGAACGGCAAGAGAAGGAGCAGACGGAATTCAAGGCGAAAAAGTTTGTGCAGGACATTTGGCCGTTCGTCGGAGCTGCCTTGGCAGTGCAGTAATTGTTGTTGACGACACAGACGCCAGGGTTGCCTGAAGACCACGCCCGCGACGAGAGGCACGTCGTCGAAGCTGCCGTGCCAGGGCTAAGTGTGTAGCCGTTATTGCAGGAGGTTGTGCAAACACCATTGATGGTGTTGGCACAGCTTCTCGTGCCACCGCCAACAGCCGTACCGGGAATGGTGCACCAGTTGGGAGTTAGAGTGCAAGGCCAGACAGTACCAGAGTAGCCAGTGGCACAGGCGGTACAGGCACCCGCGGAGTTGCAGTTGTTGCAGTTGCCAGAGTTTGTCGAACATCGGGTGTCGCACGTGCCGCCATAGTATTCGGGGCTGCAGGTGAACTGCACGTTGATGTAGACGTTGTTCACGTACCAAAAGCCACCCAGAGTCACATCCTTTGCTGCAGCACCTGCAGTGACTGCAACGTTGTACGTAACCGCACCGTAGTCGTCAGTCTCACCATTGCTATCCGAATCGTTTTCAATCAAATCAATGCTGAAAGTGATGGATCCCTGTGCCAGACGCCCACGAGTTCAACAAAAGCAACTCCAAGGTCAGACCAAAACCACAAAAACCAGGAGACATACCATACCACCAAAACCTTATTGCACGACACAACGCTGCCACCACATTCGAAAAGCAAACAAGGGGACTTACCGAGAATGTGGGGAAATCCGTTGCGTTAAAAACATAATTCCAGCGAGGCGAATTATTGTTGGATTTTTCGCCGAGACCAACTTTTTGGGTGGTCGTACCAGCACTTGTGGTGTATGCAAAAATGGATTGGACTTCAAAGTCACAGCTCCCGAACAGCTGATCACAATCATAGCCATCACCGTTCACCCCATAGAATTTCAGTCTGAGCGTTCCAGGCCCGGCGCGAGCAATGCCAGCCAGTAGCACCAGCGAAATCAATGTGCAGGCTACTCGCTTCAGCATGGTTGCTAGCGAGTGAGCAGAGGCACAAGCAGAACAAAACAAAAACAGCAAAGCAACGAAAACGAGCTTGGTGAGGCTTTGCCCGAAGGACGATGGTCTAGAATCTAGGTGAGCGAGACAGAGCGACACATCCGTAAGAACGAAAAGAACCAAACTCGTCGTCAGCAAAGAGGGGAGGAAGGGGGACCGGGTAACGGAAAACAGGGAACAGACTGCGCTTCCTAGCAACCACGACGGGGGCCATCTCCGTTGCCGTTTGCGGCTGTGACCGAATGGCAGCATCACGAGGCATCGTCGACAGGCAGTGCAATGGGTCTCACTCAACGTGTATCCATGACGCAGCCACCAGCACGGCCGCAAACGGGCCGAGACAAGCCCGCCATGTTCCGCTGCTGAAATGAGAGCAAAAGCACCGGGATTGGCTTCGATGCATGCAGGCTGCTCCTTGCAGTGCGCCTCCGACCTCAGTTGTCTCTCACACTCTCTGACTGTAGAAATGCGCGAGGAGAAGACCGTTCTGGGAACGAAGAGAGAAAAAGAGAGAGAGCGCGAGGAAGAGGAGTGCTGAGGCTCAACCACAAGCTCATAAACAAAGCTCGCCCACTCGCCCACTCGCCCGCTCGCCCGCTCGCTTCCCCCAAAGGAGCACCCACGCGGCAGCAGTTGGCAATTCCCCAGCAGCAAAATCGCAGTGCAGTCCCGGCAAGTCGCCAACTTCGTGCTACTGGTTGTTGAGACTTACGACAAAATGAAATAAAAAAAAAATAACAAAAAACACGAAAACAGGACTGCTTTTCCTAGAAAAAACAAACCGAAAAAAAAAAAACCAAAATCCTTTTTTGTGCTTTCAAACCGCACCATCATAACAACAAAAGTTCGCTGAGCTGCGCCGCTGGTACTGGCGTACGCAGCTCTCGTCAAACATTTGCAGCTCAGATTTGATGTCTGGGGTGCTAACAACATTTTGGTCGACGAGAATCATCTTTTGGAGAGTCGGGCTCGATTGCGAGTGCGTTGTCTCTGAACAGGTGGATGTTGCCGTCGATTGTGCGTCCCGGGACGAAGCCGTTTTGCGAGTGTGCATCCTTTCGTTCATTACAAAATCAATCACTTCTTTGCTCGTTCGTCGACACGATGACTCGGCTGCATTCGAAAGCAGCGTTTTTGCTCAATGTCGCGCCACACACTTTTTTTTTTTTTTCTTCTTTTCTTTCTATTGTTTCTTGTTTTGCCTTTGTGCTCGTTTCTTTGTGCCTTCACTCATGAGCTCACACCCGCGTGTTCACGTGCACCCGCACCCGCACTCGCGATCGCCCGTGCCGCGTCATGGCGGCGGCGGAGGGGGCCATCGCAGCCACCACGCCAGCCATCATGGAAGCCCGCGCCACGGCAGCGCGCCTCACAGCGGCATCATGACCCCAGACCCTTCCAACTCGTCCGCCGTGATGGAAGACGCCTTTGCTGCTGGCGTCGACTTCTACGCACTCAGTGCGCCGCTCGCCCTGCGCAAGGAGGAGGAGGACGCGCGCACCGCCGTCGTGTTCTTTGTCAATGGCAGGAAGATTACCGAGCAGCGCCCAGAGCCCACCATGACGCTCCTCACCTACCTTCGAACCAAGCGTGAGTTTGTGCAAAAGCACCCCCCCCTCCTTGCTCGGGTCTTTGCTTTCGGGACTTGGGTGTTGAATGCGCAATGCTGGGCGGCGGGTTTATGACGTTTTTTGATCTTTTTTTTTTTTTTTTTTTTTTTTTTTTTTTTTTTTTTTGGGATGATGTTGTTGTGCTTCTTATCGCATTCATATGTTTGAGTGACTTTTGCTTGGAGGTGTTTTGCCTTGCTGACCTTTCTTGACTGCTCGACTGACGCACTGAATCCATGACTTTTGCTTGGTTTTTGTGATCTTCACATGTGCGCCTCTCACATTCAATATCGACGGCTGTGTGTCTTTTGCAAATTGTGTACTTGCTTTTTGTCCTCAAAACACAGTCGGTCTCACTGGCACCAAGCTTGGATGCGGAGAAGGAGGCTGTGGCGCGTGCACTGTGATGCTTTCGCATTACGACCATTCGTAAGTTCGCATGAGAAAACATTTGCTCGCGCGACCACCACCACCAACCACCCCACCCTCACTTTGATCATCTTGTTATATTCTTTGAACACAGAGCAAAGCGTATCGTTCACCGATCTGCAAACGCGTGCCTCGCGCCAATGTGTGCAATGGACGGAATGGCCGTGACGACGGTTGAGGGAATTGGCAGCACCTCGACCAAGCTGCACCCCGTCCAGGAGCGCATTGCCAAGGCACACGGCTCGCAGTGCGGATTCTGCACACCTGGCATTGTCATGTCCATGTACACGCTGCTTCGAAACAACCCCAATCCGTCGCCCGAGCTCGTCGAGGACGCCTTCCAGGGCAACCTCTGCCGCTGCACGGGGTACCGACCCATTCTCGACGCATTCAAGACATTCTGCACTGACGACTCGGAGCATGCCCAGTGCCACATGGCCAACGGCAACGGCGACGCTGCAACGCTCGCTGCTGCCGCCACGACGTCGACACCGCACCCTGCATCCGTCAATGGCGATGCCTCGCAGCCTGATGTCTCTGTCTCTGCCGGCGCCTCGTCCTGCCCGATGGGTGCCGACTGCTGCCGGAACAAACCTGCCTCGAGCGCCAACGACTGCGGCACCGATGGCAAGGCCGCATCCGTTGTCGTCTCTGCCTCTGCTGACGGCCAGCGCAAGACGTTCCATGGCCCGTCGGCGCTGCTCGTCGGCTTGGACTTTGCCCCCTACGACCCTTCCCAAGAACTCATCTTCCCGCCAGAGCTCATGAATTCCACTCACGCGACAAACACGCGCGCATTGCACATCCAGGGCGAAACGTACGCGTGGTACAAGCCAATGTCGTTGCCTGCGCTGCTGGAAATCAAGCACCAGCATCCGCACGCTCGCCTCGTGTGCGGCAACACGGAAATTGGCATTGAGGTCAAGTTCAAGCACCAAATCTACAAGACACTGGTTTCCGTTGCGCATCTGCCCGAGCTGAACACGATTACGCACTCGAGTGCAGGTGTTCGGGTTGGCGCATCCGTCACGCTGACCGATCTCGGCGACTACATGAGCCATCTGTGCGAGACCCTGCCTCGCTACCAGACACGCACGTTCAGTGCGATTGTCGAGAACCTGCGCTGGTTTGCCGGCCACCAGATCCGGAATGTGAGCGCCGTGGCTGGTAACATTGTCACCGCCTCGCCCATCTCCGACCTCAACCCGATTTTCATGGCCGCGGGCTGCACTCTCACGCTCGCCTCGGCCACTGGCGGACAGCGCAACGTGCCATTCTCAAAGTTTTACAAGGGCTACCGCCAAACGCTGCTCGAGCCGACGGAAATCATGCTGGCCATCACCATCCCTTACACCCGCGACTTTGAGTTTGTCGAGGCGTTCAAGCAGGCCAAGCGACGCGAGGACGACATTGCGATCGTCAACGCGGGCATGCGCATCCTGCTAGAGATGGTGCCTGCTGCCCAGGTCCAAGCAGCAGCGCCAGCTCCCAGCAGCAGCAGCAGCAACAGCAGCAGCTCTGCCGCCAGCAACGACACTACTGAGCTCGTTCCCGTCATTCGTGAGATTGCCCTGTCGTACGGTGGTATGGCACCCACGACAGTTTTGTCTCCCAAGACCAGCGAGGCACTCGTCAATCGTGTGTTTGACGAATCCATCGTCCAGGTGGGCTGTGCTGCCCTTGCGGAGGACTTTCCTCTCGGCATTAGCACTCCCGGCGGCATGGTCGAGTATCGTCGCTCGTTGAACACGAGCTTTTTCTTCAAGTTCTACCTGATGGTGGTCGAGTCACTCCGCGAGCGTCTGCTCACAGACGTGGACGCCAACAACGGCCCAACCGACGCATCTGATGGGGCTGCTGTTGTCGCTGGTGCCTCCACTGTCAATGGTGCGGTCAACGGCTCGAACGTTGCTGCGCCCACTGCCGACCCGCGAGCTCTCAGCGCGACCGAGCGCACACACCGCCCCGTTTCAAGCAGCATCCAAGAGTACCAACGCCCGGTGGAGCACGCCAACCCGAATGACCAAGTGGGCGACCCTGTCCGCCACATGTCGGCATTGAAGCAAGCGACCGGCGAAGCCATCTATGTGGACGACATTCCCCGCTATGGCAACGAGCTGTACGGCGCCCTCGTGTTTAGCCAGCGTGCGCATGCCAACATTCGATCGATCGATGCCGGCGCTGCTCTCGAGATGCCTGGCGTGTTTGCCTTTTACTCGGCCAAGGACATTCCCGGCAGCAACCACATTGGTCCGGCTGTCATTGACGAGGAGTGCTTTGCCGAGACGGAGGTCACTTGTGTGGGCCAGGTCATTGGCATCGTCTTGGCCGAAACGCAGAGCGAGGCTCAGCAGGCTGCGCGCAAGGTCAAGGTCGAGTACGAGGATTTGCCGGCCGTCATTTCCATTCTGGACGCCATCGAGGCCAAGTCGTACTACTCGCCCATCAACAAGATTCAAACGGGCGACGTTGACGCTGCCATTGCCGCGGCCGAGGTCGTGGTCGAGGGCGAGTTCCACATGGGTGGTCAGGAGCACTTTTATCTGGAAACCCAGGCGACGCTTGCCGTTCCTTCCCGCGAAGACGGCGAGATGGAGCTGTTTGTCTCGACCCAGGCCCCGATGAAGACGCAGTCCATGGTTGCCAAGGTCCTTGGCGTGGACTACAACCGCGTCAACTGCCGCGTCAAGCGCATGGGCGGCGGCTTTGGCGGCAAGGAGACCCGTTCCATCTACGTCTCGTGCGCCGCGGCCGTTGCAGCACAGCTTTCGCGCCGCCCCGTGCGCATCATGCTCGACCGTGACGAGGACATGTGCTCCAGCGGTCAGCGCCATCCCTTCCATGCAAAGTATCGCGTGGGTGCGACTCGCGCAGGCAAGCTCTGCGGCGTCGACGTCAAGATGTACAGCAACGGTGGCAACTCGCTCGACCTGTCCGTTGCTGTGATGGAGCGTGCTCTGTTCTCGATCGACAACGTGTACAACATTCCAGTCGTGCGTGGTGAAGGCTTTGTCTGCAAGACCAACCTCCCGTCGAACACGGCCTTCCGTGGATTTGGTGCGCCGCAAGGCATGATGATTGTCGAGGCCTGGATGCAGCATCTCGCAGCCGCGCTCAAGATGGACGTGGATGCGGTGCGCGAGCTCAACTTTTACCACGAGGGCGACCGCACGCATTTCACGCAAGTGCTCACCGACTGCCACGTCGAGAAGACTTGGAAGTTTGCTCGTGAGAGCGCGCACTTTGCCGAGCGTCGCGCAGCCTGCGACGCCTTCAACAAGGTCAACCGCTGGCGCAAGCGGGGTCTCGCCGCCGTGCCGACCAAGTTTGGCATTTCCTTCACCCTCAAGCTGATGAACCAAGCTGGTGCTCTTGTTCAGGTCGGTTGGTGTTCGGGCGCGCGTGTGTGTGTGTGTGTTGTGTGTGTGTGTGTTGTGTGTGTGTGTGTGTGTGTGTGTGTGTGTGTGTGTGTGTGTGTGTGTGTGTGTGTGTGTGTGTGTGTGTGTGTGTGTGTGTGTGTGTGTTTCTAAACCTCGTTTGGTACCTATTTTTTTGGCTTCTTCCTTTCAGATTTACACCGATGGCTCGGTGCTGCTCACTCATGGAGGCACTGAAATGGGCCAAGGTCTGCACACCAAGATGGTTCAGGTTGCCTCCCGCGAGTTGGGCATCCCGATGTCCATGATTCACGTCACCGAAACTTCCACAAGCACGGTGCCCAACACATCTCCCACCGCTGCCTCCGCCGGCAGCGATTTGAACGGCATGGCCGTCAAGAATGCATGCGAGACGCTGAACGGTCGCCTCAAGCCTTTCAAGGAAGCCAATCCGACCGGTACCTTTGCTGACTGGGTTCGTGCAGCGTATGTGGATCGCGTGTCGCTCTCATCTACTGGCTTTTACGCCACGCCCAACATTGGCTACGACTTTAAGAACAACATTGGAAAGTACGTCGAGACTCTGGCAATTTTGGTTTTTGTGAAGGCCTTGTTTTTGTGTGACGGAATGCTCACCTCGCTGAATGCGTCGACTCCTCTGCTAGACCCTTCGCCTATCTTTCGTACGGTGCCAGTGTTGCCGAAGTCGAGATTGACACGCTGACCGGCGATGCCACAACGCTGCACTGCACCGTGGTCATGGACGTCGGTCACTCGCTCAACCCCGCCGTCGATATTGGTCAGGTGGAAGGTGGCTTTGTCCAAGGGATGGGTCTTTTCACACTCGAGGAGAGCCACTGGTCCCAAAAGGGCATGCTGTGGACGCGCGGCCCAGGCATGTACAAGATTCCCGGCTTTATGGACATTCCTCTGGATTTCCGTGTGCATCTGCTCAAGGATTCCGGCAACGAGTATGCCATCCATGCCTCCAAGGCTGTCGGCGAGCCTCCTCTCTTCCTGGCTGCCAGTGTGTTTTACGCCATCCGCGATGCTGTTGCATCTGCCCGGTACGCAGGAGAGATGGTTTTGTTGGTGTTTTTTTTTTGTTTTTTTTTTTCGGGTTTTGACTTGTGATTGCTCACTTGATATCAATTCTACCGAGTTCTTCCGCTTTGACAGCCCTGCTACGGTCGAACGCATCCGCATGGCCTGCCTCGACGACTTTACCATGCCTCGACGACTTCACCAAGCCATTCCCCGTCCCTGCTTTCGACGATCCTGTCAACAAGCACCGCTGGAATGTTGTGGTCTAAAACGCTTCGTTTGCTCTTGCGATTTCGAGTCTGCGTTTCTGCGATTTTGATTTTGTTTGCTTTTGTAATGTTTCCATTGAACATTGTTTTAACTGCCCAGACAGCCGAGCACCGAGTAGTTGCACACACATGCGCTTCTTGAAGCAACAAATGCACCTTATGCCTTCTTGTGGGCACCTCCAGCCATGTACTTGGTGTGTCGGCCGTGGGCAACAATGACATTGTCGTGATTGCGGAGAATGTCGGCGGCCGTGAAGGCAAGGCGACCGCCAGCCTTGATGACGGACGCCTCGATGCGAATGGTGTCGCCAACCGTGGCGGGGTTGAGGTAGCTGTTTTTCGAATGTAAAGGAGCGAGTCAGGCGAAAGGAGCTTGCGTTTCAAGCGCAAAATTGAACATTCACACTCACGTAACATTCAGGTCGGTGCTCACACCCGGATGGTTGGTCTTGCTGACGCATGCCAGAGTGGTGACAATATCGACGATTGTGGCGCTCAGACCGCCGTGCAGGTTTCCCATGCGATTCTGCAACAAAATTTTGGGTGAAACGAAAGCCGGCCAACAACCGCCGTAATAACACTCAAAACAATATAACAAGGCACTGTATCTCTATGCTGCCAGTACTCGTGCTTGCATCTGATCGATCTTACAGTGTGGTGCTCGGTGAGCTTGAACAGGCAGACAACTCGACCTTCCTCAGCGTGCGTGATTTCGAGTCCGTGAAGATTCCTACACAACAAACAAAACACATTCAATAATAGCATAGTGAGTCACCAGTTAGCAAACACTCGTATGTTTGCTCCGTTATTGAACTCTGGCTTTACGAGTCAAAGCCCGGGTTTGCAGGATCGGCAATGAACTTCATCGCCTGCTGCAATCGGTCGAGCAGATCTGGGTTGGACGCCGTGGCTGCGGCGGGCGCAGATGCAGGGGCGCTGCCAACAGGACCAGCGTGCTTGCTGAGTGCGGCAAAGGATGATCGGAAGGCGCTGCGGAGCATGATTTGGATTGAGAATGAGACTGAGAATGAAGAAGACTGCAATACAATTCAATACAATGGCAAACTCAATGCAAATTCAGTGGTTTTGTGTTCATGGTCCATTAGAGTGACTGACGACTGGATGGGAAGGAGTCGGGTATGAGTCTCAGAGGTTGCTTCTGAGATTTTGTCCATGAACTGCTCGTTTTGATGATCGCAGCCCCCGCACACCCACCCACAGCAGATCGGAATACTAGTCATGCATTTCAAGTAATATTGATTAGCGATCTAGATTCGCCATTTCTGAATCATCAGCCCAGTCTCAGTTTCTGACAATGGCTGCGACTTCCATTGTCGACGAGCTCGAAGCTGCGCTCCAAGCGTGCTGCACTCCCGCCATCCGCGCACCGCCACCACAGCCGCCAGCATCAAGCAATGGACGGACACACGATGCAGAGTCTGCTGCAAGCCACCAGCAGCACCATGCCGCCGCGCAGCCGACGTCGCAGTACCTGGCCGCCTCTGCCCAAGGTACCAGCATGCTCATGCTCGTCTGGCATATCACCGGACTTTGAAAATATCCAACGTGATGCAATTGTGCTTACTTTTGAATGGGCGATGCTTGGGTGGATTTAGGCGAGTTTGTCGGCGCCGCAGACCAAACCGCTCAGCATGCACGGACGGTCGATCGTGCAGTACTCGACCTGGTTGGGATTGCAAAACAATTGGAAACGTACTTTATTCAACTGCAAGTCAAGTACCAAACATTAGATCCGCTAGTACAATTGCAACTGGTAAAAGAGTTTGATAGAAATTCGTGGGTCAGTGTGCTTGCAAGTACTCACGCTTTGGTTTTGGTACTTCTTTGGATGTGTTAGGAGAATGAAGCAATGGCAGATGAAATTGCTACCAAGACGCGCGTGCTCGCACAACATCGTGCCAAGATGGTTGCCATGCAGCAAATGCTCGGCAGTGCTTCCCGATTGCCGCAGAGCTACTAGTTCCAGCGGTTTCGTGGTTTTGCGCCATTCCCCATTACAGTTAATATATTATTCAATCGGTCCTTCCTCCTTTTGAGCTTTTTGACGCAGTTTTGTTTTGTTTTTTGTTTTCGCCGTCGTTCAGTTTTCTTTTCTTTTGTTGTTTTTCTTTTTTTTGTTTTTCTTACTCTCCCCTCATCCAAATTCCTTCAAACCACTGCAGTGCCAAACTGTCTCCAACAGCAATGGTACACAGTGCTCGCTCTCCTCGGCAGAGGTTGCCCGCGATTCTCGTCGCGACACTTGTGCTGTTTTGCGTGGGAGTGACTTTCCCGCGCCATGTCGTCGCAGCCTACATTGCAGGCGCGCCCGTCAACTGTCCGGTCGCAGGCGATGCTGCGTATCAGGATGTTGAAACTCTATGCGATGGAATTGATAACGATTGCGACGGCCGCATCGATGTGATCGACCAGTCGGAGGCGTCGGCCTGCACGATTTCTTCGTTGCTCGGCGAATGCAGCAAGGGTTTCTATCATTGCAGTCTGCAAACGGCAAACACACGGGCTTGTCTCGGACCCAAGCCACTTCCCGAAAGCTTGAACGGCCTTGATGATGATTGTAAGTTGGCTAGTTGCTTTTGCGTCTGATCATGCAAAAGATTGACTCTGAGGCACTCGAGTTCCCATCGGTGGGACGGCGAGGGGGTGTTGGAGGAAAATGGCACAGCCAAAAACGCATTCCCAAGCTGTTTTTGGATAAGTAGTTCTGGGAAAAGTTGGTGGGAGGAACCCAAACAAACTCTAAAAATGGAGCAATAGGATGTGGGAACACAATCCGCCGAAGGCCAGCCAACACCCCTCTGTGTGCCCGTCATCAACCAGCGGGACGCCTCCACAGTAGGTGCGAGTACATTCTCGAATCTGAACGTGTGCGTGAGCTGTGTGACACTGCGCCACACTTTGGGCGAAACGGGCATGTGCAACCCAAAGTAGGAAAACAAACGGCAGGTGTCCATCCTACAGTAGTCAACGGAAAAGTCATCACACTCATGGGAATCGACAGAACTCGATCGTGGTCATTGGAGCAATCGGCACGTTCGTGGGGAATTGATCGCACTGACGCAGATGAGTCAAACAACACTTCTCCCTTCTGTCTACCTTGTCACGATTAGCCGTTCTACATACACAAAACCCCAAACCACAAAAACATCTCACCAATCTCCTTTGCAAAACCTTCGACAACAATCTAGGTGACGGCGAGGTGGACAATGTCCCGATCAGCGACCAAGTGTACGTTTCGCGCGCGGCCGTGTTTGCCATCACCGGCGACGACACATCGAACGACGACGCCTTGTCTGGTGTTGGCGCCAACATGTACATGATGGCTCTGGAGCAGCGTGGCATTGAATACGACCTGATCACCACTGCAGCGATGGCCGACACGAAGCTGCCCATCATGCGCGATCTGTACTCGCTTGTCATCTTTTCCGTGGATTCGCCCTCGACCGAGTTTCTAAACACTCAGCGCCTGGCAGAGTTTGAGCGCTTTGTCTTCCTCGGAGGCGTCATCATGTCCTTCTTCCCGACGAGCAGCCCAAACCTCAACCAGTTGCTGGGAATCACTGGCACACGCAACGAGCGCGACTATTTTTTCATTCGCTACTCGACTGACGCTCAGGTTCCGCTTCTCCACTCGCTCGACTCGTTTGAAGAGCTCGATTTGATGGTGAGCTCGAGTGCCAACGTGACGCACCAGCTGAATCTGCTCCAGCCGGCCGCGGGAACAGTGTCGCTCGCCACTGCCTACAAGGGCACCACGGTCGCCGGCACTGCCATTACCCGGCGCACGTTGGGCACCGGCTCGGTCTACGCGTTTGCGCACGACATGTGGTGGTATGTCGGGTCCCGGTGCTACATTAACTGCTTCTCCCCGGCCATTGATGTTCTCGGCCTCATGATTCGCTCGGCCCTGCACGAAGGCACCAAAGGCCACTCAATCATCAAGCACACTGTTCCCGGCGAGGCCGACTCCATTCTCATCCTGACCAGCGACACGCACGACTACTCGGACACGGTCTTTGACTTTGTCGAGACCCTGCTGCAGGTGGACAACCCTCGTCCGCGCGTCTCGTTCTTTTCGCAGACAACGACCAACATTCACTCGCGCGACCCGACCGCCCTTCGCGAAATGTGTCGCCTGGGTCAGTGCCCGCTGGGAGGCCACTCGGTTTCGCATGTCGCCGGCTTCAACAACCTGGTCGAAGGCACGCCGTCCGACACGTACGAGTCCGGCTACGTTGGCACGCTCAACGAAGATGTCAACGGCACGGCGCTCTACAGCGAGATTTTGGTCAACAACGAGCTCGTTCAGGCCATCACTGGCAAGCCAATGCTCGGATTCCGATCGCCGTACCTGCAGCTGCATCTCAACCAGTACCCCGTCCTCGAACAGGCCGGCATGGTCGTCGACAGTAGCGTGGCCGTGGGCGACCTGCCGTGCAACCTTCCCATCGACTTGAAGCTGTGCCAGCCGCTTGTCTACGTCTTCCAGCACGTTGACTTGCTGGAATTCCCGCTCTCCGGAGAGGACGGTCTCGTAGGCACAGATGGCGTCCGCTATGATTTGCAGCCAGCCAGCTACAAGTGGTTTTTGAACAATTGGAAGCGCCTGCAGCTCATGAACAAGGCCAACAACGGAATGACGGTGATTCTAGGTGGGGCACCAAAAAACAGCAAAAAAAACAAAAATACAACGGACGGAAAACATGGGATTTGGGATTTTTGTGTGAATGCTGTGCTTGCAAACAAAGGCTCACTTACACTATGCCGTTTTACTTTCTCGTAGACCACGACGGATGGGGGTCGGGACCTCGCGATGACTCGATTCTGGCAGCCAAGCGACAGGCCATGGTCGACGCGTTCAACTACGCCAAGAGCCAGAGCATCAAGTACAACATGGGCATGATTGAGTACGGCTCGTGGTTTAAGCTCCGGAACAAGGTTCGCGTGACTGGGCTCTACCAGGGCTCGACCTACTCTGGCAACCTGTTTGGCGCGCCAGGTGGCGACGTGCAAGACCTGACCCTCGAGTTTAGCGACCGTGTGGCGAGCTTTGAGTGCCCGGTGTGCGGTCCCTCAGCCATCTACCGAAACCGCGTGGTGATTAGCAGTCTCCCGGCCAATGCCACTGCCTACTTTTCCGCGCGCGTCGGTCTCGTTCCGGACCAGACACCGCCCGTCGTTGTCGATTCCGAGCTGCCGCCTGCGCCTGTCTCGCCCGTTTACACCTGCAGCAATCCCCGCATTCCCCTCATTGTCAACAGCTTCCGCTACATCACGACCTGGTACAACGACCTCAACCAGTACTGTGGCGACGAAGGATCCATGGCGAGTCTCACGCACGACTTTGCGAATGGCATCCTCTCGCTGAGAACGTCGCCCAGTGGCGACTCGAGCTGGTACTCGATGCTGTGGAATCCCGACTTTTCGTACGAGGTCGATCCGGCCGGCGTGACGGGAGTGCGTGTGGTGATTCGCGCCAACCCAGGAACCTCCATGACCCTCAGCGTCCAGACCGGCAAGTCCGCCACCGGCAACGACGGCCGTGGCAACACGTACACGGCACCCTTGCAGCAGTACTTTGTCGGCGGAGCCACCGACTTTATTCCCAACACCTGGATGACCGTCCTTGTACCGTTTTCGGCCATGGACGGTGTTGGCAGGTTGAACACCGACTGGCTCTTTGCTGTCGCCTTTACCGACATCATGCCCTTCGGAGCGTCGTTTGATCTGCATGAGATTGCCTTTGTGACTGCGCCATGCTAAGCCACAGGAAAGTTTGTTGGAATGTTTTGTTTTTGTGTTTTTGGCGGATTTTTTTTTTCTCGGCTCTCGCTAGTTTGTGTTTGGCTGCCGCGGTGTGTTTGATGTTGGTTGTTTGACCCTGTGTATATATATACCTGTTGAGTGTAGTTCGACGTGGTTGTTTTCGCGTAAGGAGGTTTGATGTGAGAAGCTGAGCCACTTGTTTTTTTCTCCCTCCTCCTTTCCCTCCTCCCTCGTCCCCCTTTAATTTTCTCGACAACAGAGCACTTTCGGATCGCAAGTGTATTACTATTAAGCACACACTTTCGCGAAACTTGCTTGAGGTCTGAAAAGCTGAGCGTTTCGCCACACCTTTGCCCTCCTCCGCCTCCTTCCTCCTTCGTCTTCCCCCCCCCCCTTTTTCCCATTTCTCAACATGGGCAATCCTCAAATCTCAAGTGCATTACTCACTCTCCAAACCCAAAAATCTCCTCTGATCTCCAAACCCCAAAAATTCTCCCATCACTCAACATACCCCCCGCTAGCATCGCTGTGTTTCCAAAGCGCGACCTTTTTCCTCCAATCACAGCGCTGTCGGCCAATGCTTGCATTTTGTTTTATTTTTTATTTTATTTTATTTTTCAGTCTTTATTATTTTCCTTTCTTTTCCTTTCTTCATCATTTTCCAGCACCGTCGCGCCTTCCATTTTCACTCTCTGCGAGGTTCCTGAACAGCAACAGCTTGTGAAGAGAGAGCGAGCGCGAGCGAGTGAGCGAGTGAGAGCCTGTTCATCTCTCAATCCCGCGCCTTTACCCCGTTTCCCTCTTTCCCCCTTCCCGCACTCGTGTCTTCCTCCGTCCAGCCAAACACACTCGTTTTCAACTCTCTCTTCCAATCAGCAAACAAGAAAACCCGTTGAGGGACCCCCTTCTGCCGGACGATGCAAGCCAACGACGTTTCCGCTGCCACCACATTGGCTCCGCTCCGCCGGCATCACGCCGAGCCCCAGCCGCAGCAGCTGGAGGCCTTCCTGGACTGCGCGCTGTGCCTCAAAGCCCTGTTCCAGCCGGTGACGACGACGTGCGGGCACTCGTACTGCCGCAACTGCCTCGCGAGCGCGCTCGAGTACAAGAAGCTCTGCCCGCTGTGCCGCGCGCCGTGCTTCCTGGCGCCAGACCACCCGACCAACGTCACGCTCCAGCGCATCGTCGAGTCATTCTACCCAGACGTCTGCAAGCAGCGCATCTCAGAGCTCAGGCAGGACTGCAAGGACAAGAAGGTAAAATGGCCAACAAAAAAAAAAAAAAAGAAAAAGAAAAAAAGCCACTTCAATGCATTGCATTGAACGCAATGGTCGTGCATATTACTAACCCCCCCCCACACTTCCACTTGCTTGTCCTCTTCTTCTTCTTGTTGGGTGGATCAATCGCAACAAACTTACAAAAAATCAGATGCGAATCCCACTTTTTGTGGAGGAAATGGTCCAATTCCCGTTCGCGTTGCTCTCATTACACTTGTACGAGTCAAGATACAAGCTGCTGGCACAGCGCTGCAACGAAGGGGGATCGCGAGTGTTCGGAGTGGTCTACCTGCCAAAGACCGGCAGCGTACAGTCGGTGGTGGGGTCGGCAGGATGCTTGGTAGAAATCACGCTCGCGCACGAAACGCCCGACGGCCGATGGTACATTCATGCCAAGGGCGTCAAGCGATTCCGCATCGAGTCTGTGTGCGAAGAGCCCGGCACGGATGGTCTCGTCTATGCCACGGTGCGCGACATTGATGCAGAGGCCGATATTGAGCGCATGGTTTCAGGCAGCAGCAGTGCGTCGCTTGCGAATGCATCCAGCACAGGCAGTACGGCTGTGGACGGCGGCACTTTCGCTGTGGCTGCTGCTCCAGGCACGCCAGCACTTGGGCAGGAGCGGGCTCCGCGCAACGCAGGCGTTTCGGCCGTTGCCGAAGCCACGCTCATGAACGTCGACCCGCGAGCCCATCCTGACGCCGAGGCTGAAATGCTGTGCCTAAGACTGCGCGTCTTGCTGGAAGACTACTTTAACTCAACCTTCTGGTCACGACTCAACCTGTTTTCGGCGCTCATTGGACCGTCACGGCGCATCAAGAGTCTGCCCGAATCTCCACTCAAATTTAGTTACTGGGCCGCAGGGTTTTTGCCCGTGTCGCTCCAGCAAAAGCAAAAGCTGCTCGATGCGCCGACCGTGAACGAGCGGTTGCGGCTCGAGGTCGAGATGCTCCGCGAAATTGTTCACCGCGAATCGCGCCAAAGCAACGGCTTCCTCTGGCTCCTGCTTGCCATCGTGGTGGTCTTTGTCTCGTTGTATTTTATGCGCATTGCGGCATCAGCTGCAGCGCTCGGGCATTAAGGCAAAAAGAAAAAAAAGAAAAAAAAAAGACGAGGTGGCTGATCCAAGCACGGCTGCGTTGTGATTTTGGAAATTCCCGCGCGAGTCTGCGTTGGTATTTCCTCTTCTTTGCTGGTTTTGCTTGGACGCATCGTCTGCCCACCCTTGTGTGTGCCCGTGTTGAGTGCTTAGTGAGGTTTTTGATTGTTTTTGGTGTCAGTTGGATTTCTGCCGTTGTCAATTAATATTATTTGGGATTCATGTCATTTTGTCGTTCCAGCTGTCCATCAACGGTACCACTTTTGCGACATTGCATTGCGCCATGCCTATCCCAGTCAGTGTCATGTCCTTCAGTCCTGTATTCAGCTTGCCAAGTCAATCTTCGACGTGTCATTCGCAGCCATGCCGCATCGGCAGGCGCCCTCTGCTGCTGCCGCCGCTGCGCCCGACAAGCCAATGGCACCGGATGCCAGTCCCGGCACTGCGTCGATGCCGCTGCCAGAAGGCCTTGGCTGGGTGATTATACGTCACGACACTGCGCAGGGTCAAATCGTCCTGTACGAGCCTGCCAGTCGCCAGCTCGCCGTCCAGCCACTCTCACGGCTCGAGATGCACATTCCCATGTCGTCCAACTTGCTGACGTCTGTTCCGTCGCGGGACTCGGCGGAAGCTGCTCCAAGCGCATCGTCGTCCTCCTCGGCGTATACCACTCCCATTCAACAATCTGCCTCGTCGTTGTCGACAATGTCTGGGACAAATCTGCCAAGCATTGCGCTGTCCCTCATTCCCGTTTCAATGCAACATGCATCATCATCGTCGCATGAGCGTTTGCCAGGCCAAGCTGCGTCGTCCGCACTGTCCGAGTACAATTCGAGCGAGATTGGTCAAATTGTGCTTCCAGGTCATTCTGCCATGTCCAACCCAAATTACAGAATGTACCACCATCGCTATGACAGCCCGACGCGGCTTCTGACATGCCCGACGTGCCATCAACGACTTCCGGCTGGATTCCGCTTGTTTGCGAGGATGGCTGAGGATGTCGATGAACCCGACTCTGCGTTTGCGTCTGGCGTGGGCTCGGGATCGTCTTCTGCATTCAACAGTGGAGACGCTGACGGAGATAGCGGCGATGATGTCAATGTCAATGACGAATCGGGCCAAAGCGACAACGAGGACGTCAGTTTGCGAAGTGGACATGTTTGGTCACGCCGCCGCCGCAGCCGCGCATCGCCGACTCCTGCTGCTGCTGCACGCACAACATCCATTTCACTACCAGATGCTCTACAATCCGAAACCATGCTTGTTCGACGCAATTCTCATCTGCCGCGACTTGCTGCACCGCAAGGCACCCACCACCAAACACCACACGCCGTTTCTGGCGAACAGTCAGCATCATCGGCGGCGGCGGCGAGCTCTTCGCGGGTGCAGGTTGCTCCATTGACCATGGGCGATTTGGTGCCCGTCGGTCGCCACATTCATGCAGATCCAAATTACTTTAGCTTGCTTGCTGCTGCCACCCATCCTTCGCCTCTTCCCTCCCTGGCCGCGTCCTCCAGTCAGTCATCTGCCGCAAGCTCAAGTCAACCCGCACAGCCGCTCCACGCCGCTCCTACAGGCAGCCAAGCCAGCGCAGACGTGCAGAACGACGACGACGACGACGACGATCTTCTTCCGGAAGCAGCGCTCAACACGGGCTACTACAAGCGATTCTTCATCGAGGAGCAACGGATTGGCTCTGGCCTTCGCGGCCAAGTGTTCAAGTGTCGCCACGAAATTGACAACTTGTTCTTGGGGCACTATGCTGTCAAGAAGGTCCCGGTGGGCGACCGCAAGCCGTGGCTGCTGCGCATGCTTCGGGAAGTGCACTTGCTCAATCGACTGCACCACGCCAACATTATTGGCTACAAGCACGCCTGGTGTGAAATGCACCAGAGCACGCCCTTCGGCCCCGCCGTGCCCTGTCTGTTTATTTTGATTGACTATGCCAATGCGGGCAATCTCGCGCAGTATTTATGGGCCCGGCCCCGCGTCGCTGACGCATCTTCGTCCCACGTTGGGGAGTCTCCCCGCGCCATCCGAGCTGCAGCACGTCGGAAGCGGTTGGACGCGGCCGCAGCCGCAGTCACCGCAGGCTCGCAAGACGATACAAACCCCGATCCGCTGGCCGCGCACGCGCGATATCTACCGGATGAAGAAATTTTGCGGCTGTTCCTGGACATTACCCGCGGTTTGCACCATTTGCATAGCCATGGTATTATTCATCGGGACGTCAAGCCGCAGAACATGCTCCTCACCATTGATGCCGAGGACGAGGATGCCGGTGGCCGCGGGGCTTCCACTTCCGACAACAATTCTGAAGGAACTGCGGCCTCATCGGCGGCAGCCAGACGCCGCTCGCTCACCGGCCGCATGCGAGCGCTCGTCTCTGATTTCGGCGAGTGTGAAAACGAATTCAAGCCCGTCTTGCGAAACCGCACTGGTGCAACCGGCACGCTCGAGTTTGTTGCGCCCGAGTTGCTAGCTGTCGATGCTGCCACCGGCCAATTCCCGGCGGCGTATTCAACTCAGAGCGACCTGTTTTCCCTGGGTGTCGTCCTGTTCTCCATGTGCTTTGGGCGATTGCCATGGCGAACCACCT